CATGGGCGGATGTCCATAACCGCCATGAATCAAATATAAGGATAAAAAATTATCAGCTCAGGTTCTCGACATCAACCAAGAGGCGGGACCGTGACAAGAGCCGAGACAAGGTCGATAATAATTTTGATGTAGACCGGCGATCTTCCAAAGGTTGCTTTTTGCCTTACGAGAGGACCGAGGGACGCGGTAGTAAAGGGTTCCGGTCCTTGGATAGGTTCGCTCCTGAAAGAAGAACTTACCGTGGCTGAAATAACAGATCATTGCAAGACGAAAAGGTATCGGGGACCCGGAATTCCACTTATACCAGGTTGTCAGATTACAATCTCAAATCAGTGTCGTGGAGCTGGTATCGGCAATGAGGAATGTCAAAAAAGCACGATTCCCGAGGCCGATCAGATCCGATCCTAACCAGAGGGATCCCAACTTGTGGTGCAAATATCATGGAACACGTGGCTATAGGACTAGGGAATGTCAGCATCTGTGCAAGGATGTGGCAACATTGTTGAAGAACGGCCATCTCAGGGAGTTCTTGAGCGACCAAGCCAAGAGCAATTATGGCCGCTGCAGGGACAACGTAGAACCCTCGAAGATAGGGGAGGATTCTCCTCGGCTAACTATCAACATGATTTTCGAAGGGAATGAAATCAATGGTGTAACTTTCTCAGCAGCCAAGAAGACAAAAGTATCAATGACCCATAATAAAAGACTCAGGAAGTAGCTGAAGACGACATCACCTTCACAGAGGAAGACGGCGATAGACTTATTCTGTCGCATAACGACACCCTGATAATTTCTCTTAATATTCTATATTTCAAGATTAAACGTGTTTTGGTTGACCCAGGAAGCTCAACCAACATCATTCAATGGAGTGTGCTGGAACAAGCCAAATTAATCGAAAGTATAAGTCTGATAACAAAGCTCCTCGTCGGGTTCAACCTGCCAAGTGTGACAACCCGAGGAGAGGTCCTGCTGCCCACGAACGCCAAAGGGGTAACAAAGACCACCTTATTTGAAGTGGTGGACAGCGACATGGGCGACAACATAATTCTCAGTAGAGCATGGTTACATGAAATGAAGGTTGTACCATCAACATATCACCAACTACTAAAATTCCCAACCCCAGAGGGAATCAAGCAAATAAGAGGAGGTCAACCGGCCGCCAAAGAACTGAATACAGTGTCAATTTCCAGTAGTAAAGGGAAGGAACCCAGTAAAAAGCAATTACAAGAACTGACGCCTGCTCACGAGCCGAGTAAAGATGATAAAGGCGAGGAGTCGTCAGAATCCCACCAGGTACAGAGGTTTTTTCAGGTACCGAAAGAGACAGATGCGACCAAGTCCACGGCAGAAGAACTCGAACAAGTGGCTTTGTTTGTGGAATTCCTGGAGAGAAAATTTCCCTTGGGAACACGACTCAATCCTGAACTCATGTCAGAATTTATTAATTTCCTTAAAGCTAACATTGACAGTTTTGCATGGTCGCACTCAGATATGACAGGTATCCCACTAGAGGTAGCGGTCATAAGCTAAGCTTGGACTCAAGCGTTGATAGCCGAGGTCAGAAATAGGTTTGTTAAGGAAGAGGTAACTCGGCTACTTGACATCGATTCCATCCGAGAGGTAAAGCATCCCGAATGGTTAGCTAACGTTGTTGTAGTTCCAAAAAAAGAATAACAAGTTTTGAATGTGTGTAGATTATAAAGACTTGAAAAAGGTGTGCCTTAAGGACTCGTTCCCATTGCTAAATATCGATCAAATGATTGATGCAACGGCCGGAGACGAGTTAATGAGTTTCCTCAATGCCTATTCTTGATATAATCAAATTAAGATAAATCTGGAGGATCAGGATAAAACTTCGTTCATAACAAACGTTGGCACATATTGTTATAATGTGATGCCCTTCGGGCATAAAAACACCGGAGCCACTTATCAGAGGCTCGTGAACAAGAAATAGGCAAAACGATGGAAGTATATATAGGTGACATGTTTGTCAAGTATTTGAATGCAGGTGATCATTCAAAGCATTCCACGAAACCTTTGATATCTTGAGGAAGCACAACATCAAGCTCAACACAGAAAAGTGCGTATTCGAGGTTGGCTCCGGTAAGTTCTTGAGTTTCCTGGTTTTGGAAAGGGGGATCGAGGTAAATCCCGATAAGATCAAAGCCATCGAGGACATCCACGACCAGCTGACAAGCGTAAAAGAAGTCCAAAGGCTAATCGAAAGATTGGCCGCTCTAAGCAGGTTCATCTCACGATCCGCAAAAAAATGTCATCACTTTTTCTGCTTCTGAAGAAGAAGAAAATTTCGAACGGACTCTAGAATGTCAACAAGCGTTAAAAGACCTGAAACGTTATCTATCAAGCCCCCCGCTACTATCAAAGCCAGGGGAAGGTTAACAACTACTAATATACTTAGCGGTATCAGAGGTAGCAGTAAGTGCCGTTCTAGTCCGGGATGACAAAGGTACGTAATTTCCTATATACTATGTTAGCAAAATTTTGTCAGGAGAAGAGACTCGTCATCCGCACCTTGATAAACTAGACTTAGCTCTCGTAGTCGCCTCGTGAAAGCTTAGGCCTTATTTTTAATGCCACCCGATAGCCGTTGTGAAGACCTTCCCTTTGTGGAACATTCTTCACAAGCCTGAATTGTCAGGTCGGTTGGCCAAATGAGCAGTTGAAATAAGCGAATTTGATATTGAGTACAAGCCTGGGACTGTGATCAAATCACAAATTTTGGTCGAGTTTGTAGCCTATTTCTCACGGGTTATTACCCTTGGGTGCTAAAGAAACGGTAATGGTGTCGGAAACGATATCAGGAGTTTGGACCTTGTTCACGCACGGAGCTTCCAATGTGAAAGGGTCCGGGCTCGGGGTTGTCCTAATCATGCCTTCGGGAGAGACCGTGAGGCAGGCCATAAAAATTATTCCTTTAACTAACAATGAAGTCGAGTATGAGGCTTTGATTGCAGAACTTGAACTGGCCCAGGGACTTGATTCCGAGGTAGTAGAGATCAAGTGTGATTCCCAGCTGGTAGTAAACCAAGTATATGGGATTTTTTATATTTTCTTAGACACACTAAAAAGGAAGTGAAACACTTGAAATCGACGGGAGTACTTATAGATTTTTAATTATAGTTAAAAATACATATTATATAATTAGTAATTACTAAATAATACTTATTTTAACAAAATCACTTAATTTGGTGCAAGCATAAGAAATTTAGTAGTATCTGTTTTTGCGTTACATATTTTTCCAGTGTTTGTCATGGTAAGCACAAATGTTGATTGCATGAACTAAGGTCGTTTAGTAGAGTGTATAAGAATAGTATTGACTACTGAGTAGGATGTATTAGTCATGTTGAAATCGATAATGTTGAGATTAGTTATGCTGGGATTATTTATTATCCACTATTTGGTATGGCGTATTAGAAATAACATGCATTGCATAAGGGTGTATATATATGCTTATTCATGTATTAAAACCATGTATTACTAATGTCATGATTTGCTATGTATTAATTATACATAGGATAATACCAAATAGGTATATAGCTAAATATATATATTAATTGTACATAAGTTGAAAAATATTACCAAACAAGAGATTAATATTACTAAAATTCATACATACTACTCTAAACGACCCCTAAATCCTTTTAAAGAAAACGGCCCACCAAAAGGAAAAAGCCTAGTAGGGGTGGGTGTTCGGTATTTCGGTACGGTATTTAAAAATTACGGTTCGGTATTTCGGTATTCGGTATATCAATTGTGTATACTAAATACCATACTAAAGTAGTTCGGTACGGTTCGATATTTTCTTGTTTGGTTCGGTATGGTTTCGGTTTGGTTTCGGTATCATTATTGACAAAGAAGTACACCTTCAAATGGCGAATGCTTTGCTTATAAATCTTGATTTGGTTGACTAGTGTAGCCAAGCTCTTCAATCTTTCTGGTACTCACCTAGAATAGACGAAAATGATGCGTAACTTGCTTTTAAATCAATTGAGACATCATAGAAGAAGCTTATCAGCCCTATTTTGGAATGCGCGGGTGAAATGAAGTATCATAGAAGCTTTTTGGATTTGATAGGTTGGATGATTTTTGGTTTACTTGGTGGAGTAAAGTAAACTGGAAAAACATATATGCATGTATCTGGTCTTAACAAGAATACATAAAAATATTTCAAAATTTAAACCTCTCCAGTCATTTGTTTTGCTGCATATTACGTCGGCGCAGTACACACCTACACCTACCTCATGCTCTTTGTATAATTGTCAAGCCTAAAGATTAAGATTACATTAATGGATTGAAACGGTGAAACCAGGGTCCTTAGTTGAGTTGGACTTGGGGTTAATCTTACTGGCTAAGGCCTAGGGGTAACTAGTTGGATTTGGGCTCGCGAAATGGGAAATTGGGAACTTGGGCTGGGAAGTGGTGGAAGATTTACTTAAAATATTTTGATATTTCGGTATTTTAAAGTATCGAAAGCTCAATACCGAAAACTCATACCGAATTAGTACTGAATAACCGAAGAAGCGACACCAAAATACCGAATTATTTCGGTCCGGACCGGTTTTTCGAATTTTATGCTCACCCCTAGGCTCTATTCTCTGCCAATATACTGTACCTATTTATTTCTCTCACCTACTGATCTGATCTGTTGCCTCTTCCTCCGTCACTCTCATTCTCTTCAACCCAATAACATCAGCAAAATGGAACTAGCTATGCATATTTTATAACATGCGAACGAAACCACCATGTCCACGTCTCTACCATTACTACCTGTTTTTAAGGTTGCGTTGTTGTGAATCCCACCTCGTGCTCTTCACGTGATCTTTCAAACACCAAAAACCCACATTAAACACACACAGACACAAACACATGAACATAAATACTCTCCTCTGTTTCCGTTTTCTCTCTCTACATAATATCACCTAAGTAATAATTACCCGCCCAAAACTTCCCACTTTCTCTTTCAATATCAAATCTGCAAAATGTCCGCCTACTATACACAGCCATCGCCGCTGTACTTCACTACCGTCAGCGGTGGCACGATTCCCAGCACCGCCGCAGAAGCACATATTTCCAACGTCAAAACCACTTCTTCATCGATTGTGATTGTTATTATTGTCGTCGCCACCGCCATTATCGTTTCCGCTTCCATTTACCTCCTCCTCCGCCTCTTCTCCCGCCGCTCCTCCCGAACCTACGCCGCCGCAGACGACGTAATTTCTCATCCCGCTGCTATTTCAAATCGTCTCTCCGGTCGATTGTTCGAGTCATTGCCGCTGTTCAGTTTTGGTTCTGTGACTGGCAGTTTGACTGGAATTGACTGTGCAGTTTGTCTCTCCAAATTCGAATCGCACGATCAGCTGCATCTTCTTCCACTTTGCTGTCATTCGTTCCACCGCGAGTGCATTGACGCATGGCTTCTAACAAATCAGTCCTGTCCTCTTTGCCGCTCTACTGTGGCCCCCAACGACGCTGACGTACTGAACAAGGTATTAACAGCAACAAATTCTGAAAACCCTACCATTGGCACTCCTAATAGTAATACCGGTAGTTTCCGACTCGAAATCGGTAGCGTGAGTCAGAGACGGGTCGGGTCGGATTCCGCGGGCCGGAGGTCCTATTCGATTGGCTCATTTGAATATGTTGTTGAAGAAGGCCACGAGTTGTCCGTACACTACTAGAATCCCTGTAAAAAGCGACCAAAGATTAGCGATCAAATTTGGTCTGTCAAAAAAAGCGACCAAAGTTGGTCGCCAAACTGCCGAAAATAATAAAAAAATATATCTGAAATACTTTAGCGACCAAAGTTGGACGCTATTTGGTCGCAAATTTAGTCAAACTGTTGACTGGACTGGTCAGACTTGTTTGGTCAAAGATATACTGAGATTAGCGACCAATGTCGGTCGCTTAAGCGGGACCCACATAATTTTTTTTAATAATTTTAATATTATTTTATAAAACTTATAAAATATAAATATATATAATTTAAAACTTGCGACAAAAGTTGGTCGCTAACTGAAGGATAAGTTGATAGCGACCAACATTGGTCGCTAAAGCGGGACCCAGTTATTATATTTTAATAAATATATATTTATTTAAAATAAATTATAAAATATAAATAAATATAATTCAAAAGTTAGCGACCAAAGTTGGTCGCTTAACTAAATAGAGACCAATGTTGGTCGCAAATGTGGGATCCAGTTCTAACATTTAATAATTTTTATTATTAATTTAAATATTATATAAAATATAAATAAATCTGATTAAAATTTAGTGACCAAACTTGGTCGCTAAATTAAATTCATGTACAGTTAGTGACCAACTTTGGTCGCTAAATTAAATTTATTTACAGTTAGCGACCAAGTGGGTCTCTATATGGTCAAAATTAAAAATCACTTTTGTATTTATTATGTAAATAAAATAAATATAAGTCGTTAATACTTTTGTAATACAAGGGATGAATAGTACGCAGTACTACGAAGTGGCGGTGTTGTGTCTATATAATATAATATATATATACTTACGTTATATTATGCACTAAGTATTAATCTCCCCTCTCTTTT